AGTTGTCATTCCATTGGGCGATGCCTCGGTGCGAAGGTCTATGACCGGGCATGCCGAGCTACCGCAAAGGGACCTCCAGGGCGCACGTCAGCACCGTTTCTTGACCTGCCTGCCGACTCAGTTTGGACCGTGCCCTACCCCAGAGGACCCAGTCGTCAGAGACCATGAGCTGGGGCATGGTGGAGCAGGTAAGCTAGTACGGAGAGCGCTGGAAGGTTGATACTTTGAAATGCATGGGCAGGTGCCGACGTGGCTTAGACCAGGAGGATGGGCACGAGCTGTGGCCGACCAAGCATTGGATGCCAGTGCCTTCGGTCAGGAAGATCCGCATCCGCTCTCGGAGTCGCATGTGCTCATCTTCGAGCCTCGCATCTTCGAGAATGCGGACATCTGGATTCAACGAGATGGCTCCCTGGCGATTACGGTTCGGCCCACATGGAGCGACATTCATCAGATCATGCGTCTTGCAGCGTCGGGAATACAGCGAATTCGGATATCGTGGGTTTTGGTTCATGACCGACGGTGCGCTGCGCTCACAGTTTACCCCGGGTCCGACACGGCATGCGTAGACTAGGTCAAACAGGCCAAGTTCTGGTTCGGCTAACTGGTGATGGTGATGATGTGCTCCCTTCCACTTCGAATGAAGATTGCACTCTGCGCGCAGAATGTCTGGGATGGCGGCGACCTCCTGCGCAGCAGCGATTGCCGTAATCGGCTGGGTACACTGAGTTGTTTCACATGTAGGGCACCTTTGCAGTACGGCACCTCCAGCGCTGACCCTGACATGATTTGGCCGAAGATCGACTATCGAGAAATCGGTCTGGCCGATCGGGATCGAGAGGGCTGCGCCCGCAACCCTACGGCGCAGAGCACAGGGAGGAAACGGACGGGCTACGATACCAACCGCGAGCAGGTACGAGCCCGGAACGGGCGGAAAGACATTGGCGACGAAGGTATCGGCGCCCGTAGAAATAATGCACTGCAAGGAAAGGCCGCGCTGCACAGCAACGCCATGACGGTCTTTGCCCAGCTGCCAACGTCCCCAGACAATGAGTTACCCTAGCGGCAGAATCCCGCGCGCAGGAGAGGGCCAAGAAGCTGGCTCACAGGTGGATCAAGTTCCAGAACGTACATCTCAAGACGCCTGCTGCAGGTAAGAACGCCGGCGTTCCTCCGTGGATGCGGCGGCCGCGCAGCAGCGGGATAATACTGGATGGGAACGGCCATGCCAGTTTAGATCCTTTTGATTGGGATTATAATCATCCGGAAGACACAGTATGGGATGGCCCGCGCGGCGCAGAGAGTCCTCGCGGAGCGCTGAAGTCGAACCGCTCAGTCACTTGAAAGCTGCGTGGAGCAGGAAATGGAGTATCACTGGCCACCAGTAGAATTTCTGAGCTCCGCGGCCGCCAGCGCGCGAAGCGAGGGCCAGGGCGCCGCCTGACTACGTCGGGGCAGGCGGCAGGCGCCCCCCCTCGGGCGCAGTCTGCCAAAGGAGAAGAGAGGCCAAACCCCACGAGGCCCGGGGGCCGTCCCGCGGCAGCAAGAATGTCGGACGACGCCAAGGGCAGGGGCAAGATGACCGAAAATGACGGCAAGGGAGCTAGGAGGCCAAGCAGTCGCCGCCAGATGATCGACAGGAATCCAGGCGACGCCAAGCTGAGAACCCGACCCATTGGGACACGCACTCACTCATTGGGGCTGCCTCTTCGAGCTCCGCCGCGGCCACGGGGCCGCCAGCTGCGAGAGACTCCCGGCCGGGCGCGCCCTGGCATAAGGGGGCCGGCGCCCCGCGGCACCGCGCGGACGCTGCCCTTCCAAGGCGCACGTGCACCGATAACGAGCAGCAGAATACACATTCCTCTACCCCATGGCAAGCGAACAACCAGAACTGGCGGCGGTCTTGGATCTGGAGCTCAGGCAACTGGCAAGGCGACAACAGCTGGAGCCGCGACGACTACAGATGGGGTTGAGAGGAAGAGAACGAGGGGCACCTGCGGTTATGCCGCAGGTGCCTCCTCGAGGCCATCGATGGCGGTCCAAGTGCGTCCAGAACGGATGATGTGAACCGCTTGGCACTGCCGTGCTATGCGCTGAGTGTCCCAGAGCGCTGTGAGTCAGGTAGCGGGCGCGCTGCCTGCCGGGCGCGGCGTGACGGGCCGCTTTATCAGACAATTTGGGGCGTTGACAAATCGCCAACGTCCACCCGCGCGAGTGGAGCTCGCCTGGGAGGCCGCGGGGGGAGCTGATTTAGTCACACCCCTGCCATGCATCATCTTCATTTGCTTAACCTTACTGCAGCTATTTCGGCTGTGGTCGCAAAAAGGAGCACAGGCCCGCCCGCCCGCGCGTCCGCCTGCCGGCCTGCCCTCTCCCGGTTACCGTGGCCATAGTTTGACGGCACAATGCAACACCGCGCCATGGCCACAAGGAGTACGTCACCGATACATCGCTTGAATATGAGTACGAAACTACTACAAGAAGACGATAAACACGAATAAGAGCCACACGCTTTGCCGTTTGATTCGGGCTGCGAAAGCTCCCCTCCTGACGGAGAACTGGCAAAACACTTGTTTTTTGTCGTTCCGCCGTGCATGTGTCTCCTGGTACGCGCACGTCCCAAGCTGCTCGGAATGTTAAACGACATGGGGGATGATGAGGAAGAGAACGAGAAGGATAGGTGAAACAGCGCGCGGCACTTTGTTGGAGTCGTTTGCGCCACTATTCGGAGCAAAGGCTTCAGAGTCTAACGACGCGCCCCTGGAAGCCGCGGCCCGCCTAGTGCGCAGCAGCAACAGCAGAAGCGTTAGCCTTATTGGGCCGCGGCGCGGACAAGCAAAAGGATGAGGGGGGATCACATCGGCACCCCATGACGGAAGGGTCGAGACCTCGTCTGCTGGGCGAGTGCCGCGCCCACTGGGCGCGACAGTCGGGGAGAACCCCACAGGCGGCCGCGGGAATGAGCAGGGACCAAAAAATTGAGGGAAACGGGGGGCGGAGGATCGATTGCACGTAAGAGTGGCCCCTCGCTGGAGTGATTTTCGGTGCCGGCCCACTGGGGTCCCCCGATCGTTGCGTGCGGTGCGATAGCGGCGGCTTGCGCGATTGGGTATGACCCCCTCGCGCCTTGCTGAAGTTGCACACCGCAGGTCATCACTGCCTAACGCCATTTTGTGCGTGCATCATGCGTGTTACGAGGATAGGGGAGGGGGAGGAGGAGGAGGAGGAGGAGGAGGAGGAGGAGGAGGAGGAGGAGGAGGAGGAGAGGAGAGAGGAGGAGAGAGGAGGAGGGAGGGGAGGAGGAGGAAGGAGGAGAGAGAGGAGGGAGGAGAGGAGGAGGAGGAGGAGGAGGAGGAGGAGAGGAGGAGGAGGAGAGGGAGAGGAGGAGGAGAGGAGGAGGAGGAGAGAGGAGGAGGAGGAGGAGGAGGAGAGGAGGAGGAGGAGGGAGGAGGAGGAGGAGGAGGAGGAGGAGGAGGAGGAGGAGGAGGAGGAGGAGGGAGGAGGAGGAGGAGGGAGGAGGAGAGAGGAGGAGGAGGAGGAGGGAGGCGGAGGAGGAGGAGGAGAGGAGGAGGGAGGAGAGAGGAGGGAGGAGGAAGGAGAGGAGGAGGGGAGGGGGGGGAAGGAGGGAGAGGAGGGAGGGGGGGACGAGGAAGAGGAGGAGGAGGAGGAGGAGGAGGAGGAGGAGGACGAGCAGGAGGAGGCTCGGGGGGAGTAGACGCCACAGGATGGATACGGCCTGACGGGGTCGGACGGGGCTCTCTCGGAAGCCAAAGCACCCATGAAATTAGCGTCTGGACGCGCACATCTTGTTCGTACAAGAGGGAAGCTCGATTCGCATACAAGTTGTTTGGCAGATGGGGCGTTCCAGGAAGTGCGTCGCCGTCGAGGGATCGAGGGAGATGCCGTCTCTTCCTCGGCGGAAATTCTGCGGGGGCAGCTCCGACAGCGGAAGCTACGGCGGAAGGCGGTGGAAGTAACAGCAAAACGCAAGCATGTTGGTATTCAGGGTTTCTGGAATCGGCCATGCGAGAGCGTTGGCCAAAACATTCGTCGATGCCCACAGTGTCGGGGATGCTGTGGTCGCCGTGTTGCGGGAACGCGCTGATGTGGGCCCGATTTGGGGCGGCAGAGGGGTTCAAAATCGTGGCGTTCACCGCCATGGCCCCTCCGAACGCCACAGACGTCGCACAGTCGTCGAGAGATTGAGCTCATGGTGCGGAGACGCCATAGCATCCGCATGCGAGAGATTGAGTGTGTGGAATTCCTGGTGCGGAGACGACAAGGGTCAAACCGCTGCGCGCACTCCGCCAGCCCATCTTGTGGAATGGTTGCCATGTGTTTGAGTGTTCGCGGGGATTGGATTGGGTGGTTGTTGGGTTGTGGTAGTTTCCCCGAGTTGTCGTGTGACGCTCACGTGGGGAGAAGAAGTCGCTGGGTTGGCCAGGGGCGAGACTCGACGGAACACGTCCCCACCCGACGTCCCCCGTGAGTTGCTTCGGAGCATGTTGGGTGATTTGGAAGTGTTCGGGTGTTGTCAGGGTGTTCCAAGAAGCTTCTCAAAAGGTATATTGGAGGCGCTATTGCCACCATAGTGGCCGATCGAGCCTCCTCCACCTCCTCCTCCTCCGCCCCCTTCACCTCCTCCCCCTCCTCACCCCCTCCTCCTCCTGCTCCTCCTCCTCCTCCTTATCATCATCATCATCATCATCATCATCATCATCATCATCATCATCATCATCAGCATCATCATCCGCCGCCCCCTCCTGCATACGACAGTCTATTCATGGCAGCACCAGCTGCCATCAGCATGTAGGTGAGCACGGCCTTGGCTGCGCGTAATGCTATCTGCGTTCCCTCGCCCCCCCCTCCGCCTCTGCCTCCGCCTCGTCATCCTCATCATTTTCGCTCCCACTGTGGGCGGGGGGGGGCTTCCTGACCGCACTGAGGATGAGCACGGGCCGCGGGAGGACGAGGGGGCGCCTAGACCGCATTTCCCACAGGAGCCTGCCGACTGGCCCTCCGACGAGCTGGACGAGGACACCCTCGAGGCCGCAGAAGCTGGAGCGCAGCGCCCCCGACTCGTCTCCCTCCCTCCCGTCGCCTTCCTGTCACTTCCCTACGGTCGAGGTTGATGAGTTGGTCGGCCCAGACAGATCAAGGGTGCCTTTGTGTCCTATGTGTTCGCAACCCATGCCTTGTGCATTATTGTGGCAGTGTGGCCCGTTGAAGGGTCTTGTGTCCTCTCGCGTGTCCTCTCCGATCAACCCCGACTGCACCGTTTCCCTTCCTCCCTCCGCTTGAATTTCGTTGGAGGTAGCTGAAACGCCGGACGGAGAGGAGCTTCGACATTGTCAGGGTGGGGTGGGGGGTCAAGCATATTCAATGCATTGGTTTTGTTCGCTTCGGAGGCGCGAGGCCAAATGTTGGACCACATGAGACTATTGAGTGTAACTCAATCCTTGAGTGCGAAATGGTAGACTTCAATATTCAGTTCTGACTTATTATATCGGAGATGAGGTCGGTCCTCCTGGGAGGGATTCGGACGGCATCGCGTGAACCAATCAGGGTGTTAATGTAGGAGCCTTTTCGACATGATTGCGCCATTCCGCCGACCCTCGCAGGGTGAATGAGCGAATGTAAACAATGCAACAAACCTACGCCATTCCGTTTTCCGTATCCCTGGCAGATGACCCAGAAACGATGCCCAGGCGAAGAGTAGAAATATGGAAAGTATCTAGGCGCACTGCGAAACAGTAAGACCAACATTTAAATAATCATTCCATCGGTCCCTGTTTCCAAGTTCAATCGGAGCGTGCCCTCTGCTGAATGAAGGCGCCCTCCTCCTGCACCTCTCCGTCATTCACCCCCCCCCTTTCCCCTCCCCACCTTCCCCTCCTCACCTCCCTCCTCATTTCCCCTCCCCTCCTCCTCCCCCATACACCTCCCCCTTCCCACGATGTATCGTGCTGCCTGCTGCAAGTCCCACCACCGTGCCAGCCCAGCATTCTGGATCGCGATTGCTCCGGTGGGCGCGGAAGGCCGTTACATGTGACGCCTATCTTGGGGAGCTCTCATGGATCTCATTCGGGCCGTCTTGAGGCTGTATTGGGCTGTCCTGGGGGTCCCTTGGGGCACTCCTCGGCCGTCTTAGGGCCCTCTTGGCCGTCAAGGGGATATGTTGCGGTCGTCGCGGGGTCGTCTGCCGTCTTGGGCCGTCAAATGGCTCTCTGGACCTCCTGGGCCAGCTTGGGGCTTCTTCGGGGCAGCCTCAGGGCTGTCTTGGCCCGTCTCTTGAGGCCATACGGAAACAGTATTAGTCGTTAGGGGTCTCTCTTGGGCCGTGTTGGGGCGGGCCATCTTCGAGAATTTTGGGGCCGTCTTGAGCTGAAGGAGGCCCGGAGAATTGAAGACGTGAGAATCGTTGAATTATTTTGCGATGTCAACGATTTGGGAATATTCGGGCCTAATTGGGGTACTCTTGTGGCCCTCTTGTACAGTCTTGAGGGGACCTCTTGGACCGTCTTGGGGCCATCCTGGACAGTCTCGGAGGCATCTTGGGCCACCTTAGCGGCCTTGGTCACAGTTTCTTCCTCTTCCACCTCTTCCTCCTCCTCCTGTTCCTCTTGGCGGGTGGAGAGTTTGGGCAGGCGGCTCTTGTCAGAAATTGTCGTGGCAAATTTGTGCTCCCGCCTCTGGCCGTTGAGCACCTGCACACCGCTCCTTCATATTCGGTGGGGGGCCTCTTCCCCCGTGGTCCACCGCTCGATCACGGTGAGGCCCCGCCTCCTGTAAAGTTAGTGCGCTGGGCCTCTCCTCGGATGGATCGGCGCGCCACAGGTTAAGTCTGCTCCTCCCCTCCTGCTCATCCCCCTACTCTTCCTCCTCCTCCTCTTCTTCGTTACCTCGATGCTGCTGTCGAGCTGCTTCGCCGTGCGGACCCCTTCCCCGCTGCCCGCCGAGGTGCCGCCGGACGAGGTGGACGTGGACCGCGCGAACCGGTTCGTGGCGTCCCCGGCGCTGCTGTCGCCGACACGGCAGGCGGCCCCGACCTCCGCCTGCAGGAAAGGAGGGTCGGTCGGACGCAGGTACGGGTGCTTGGTCGAGTGAAAAGTTTGGGGTCAGGAGGGTGTAAGCCGAGACCCTGCTTAGGATGACGTCGTAGACGTATCACGGCATCCCATCGTTTATCCCTTCTTGATGGGCAGGACGAGAGATACGAGACAAGACATGAGATAGAGGGATGAGATGCGCCATCGGTGGATGTGGTCTTTATCCAACACTCAGGTTCGATGGTACCTCTCGGGCGAGAGGTAGTCATTTAGGGTAGCGCTACCTCGAGCCATGTAGCGCTGGACGTAGGCACGACGTTCGTTATACTAGCTCCCCCTTTTGACTTCTTTCAAAGTCAGGAGGGGAGGAGCCGAACGTCGAGCCAGGTCAAATTATATAATACAGTAATAACAAAGTAAGGTAGGGCGGTCGTTTCTCGACAACCCTAACAGTACAGAGGCAAGGCACAATGAGGGCAACATAGACTATTAGGGTCGGTCAGGAGCAAGACCGCATGACCGGCCGCAGATAATTATGAGGACGTCTGGCCAAATTGTCAGACGTCAGAGCGTGCGGTGAAACAAAAGGATGCCTGACCAAACTGTCAGGCATCAAAGCTTAGCAAACAAAGATAGCCCGTGTCCGGGCTGATACTGATGTGCTGCTCGTGTCCGAGCATGTGTTGGTTATGGCTTAGCCAACCGTATACAGTATCCGTTAGCTCTGAACAGGGCATGGCTATGTTGGTGCTGGTGTGTTGCCTCGGTATGGCGTAGACCGCTTTACTTTTGCTTTCAGGTTTCGACTACCGACCTCTAAGATGTGTGTTGGCGTCAGTGGTCCAGCCTTGGGCTCGTGTGGCGTCACAACGGTAAGGTAGCAGTATTCCAAGTTATGCGTTGCTGATACAGTTTCAGCTGAGTATCTGGAGCGTACATGCAAGCGGTTTGATTTGCAGTACGCGTCGATCATGTGTACTACTGTCTTACCGTTAGGCGCGCGTGCGCGCAGTAAGAGGTTGGTGTCTCGGATGCCATACCCCTTAACTTCGTCATCGGCCTCGCCGTTGAGGCGGTGATAACCAGAGTCGTTGTGTAGGTCCATTTCTTTTGTCGGAGTCATGAATTGATATACGTTTTGCTTGGACCCTGCTGCAGTTTGCGCGTCACGGCTTGAGTCCTCGTACTTGTAAGTTGGTGGGTCTTGGACACGTTGTAGTGAGACCACATATACCACCAACCTCACTTGCGTGATCAGTGCATACGTAACGCACCATGTAGGCTGATATATCAGATATTGTGTTCGTCGCTTTTTCTTCTGCTTCAGCGTCAGTAAGTTCTTGGCGCTGTACGGGACGAAGTTGTTTGATATACTCATCCTGATCTGGTTGGACGTGGCCGTCTTCGGTCTTGGTGTAGCGCACGGTGCAGTTAGTGTAGCTGTCTTGGTTGAGCTTACATGCGCCGAACGTGCTTCCAACACACTTGACGTACTTGTCAATCGCGTCCTCAATTGCTGCCATATGTACGTCGTCAACGTGCTTGGCTGTTAGGAGGTCGGGACTTGTTTCAAACTCCTCATCACATGAGGTAGGTTTGAGCCCGAAGCCTCTCGTGATGGTTCTGAATCTAAGTGAGAACGCCCTAGGGGCATCCTCGGCGCCGGTGCCTGGCTTCAGGCATTGCAGGCAGCGCTTTGATTCGCCATTAGACGCGAATCCCAGCATCGCACGCAACACCGATGTTGAACCAGGCGGGAGAGCAAAGCAGACCACGCACTCCTTCTTTCCAGTGGCTTCGACCAATTAAAGATGAATCAAGCCTTTCAAGAAATCTTTGTCCGTGTGCATGGACGCTATGACCCACGACTTCTTGCACGCCGCCGCGCTTGCGAGCAATCTTCGAGTTGCTCGGCGAGCTGTGCTTGAAAAGATTTCTACATCGAAGGTTTCGACATCCATGAAGCCGCGAAGGACCAGGCGAAGTCCGATGGTTCGTTTCATGTCGCCTTTCCCATTCCTCACGAATTCCCATGTGCACGCATATCTAGATATTGTAATGTTAGTGGCATTCTTTTTACCATGCATATTGAAGCAGTTGTTGTCATACCCTTTTTCAAGTTCTGCGCACAGGGATTTGGATATCTTGACAGTTTAGTTTGTATTTCGGCCTTTGTCAGGAAGTCGTCTCCCCTGACGGCTACAGCTCTCTTGGCTGCGGTTGCCACACACATGCGCGCATATTGGTTATTTGGCCGTTGTGAAGTGAATCGTGTTGCTGTTCAGTCAGAACGGCTTTGGGCACGTTAGAATTAAGGAAAGCTCTACACACTGACCATGTTCGTCGGAATCCAGGTCGCACGTTTCATCGCATTCGGTGATGCAACGCACTAGGAGTGCGCGCCTTATCGGCATCATCGCGCTGATCGCAGCTTATTTCATGCAAGTGTCTTTGCTCTTCACTGGTCACTGTCGCGAGCACATGGTTCTCGGTAATCATTTCTTCAGGGATTGAGCGTAAGGATTCAAATGGAGCCGCCCCAGTAATTCCTTCACTTCTTGGTGCTCGATGTACCACGCTTCCATGCTTTAAAGTTATCGCCGACTCTTCATTGGTAGTCGGGAGCCGGCAGTCGAGTGCGGCTGGAGCTAGAGGCGGCTCTTCTTCTTGAGCGTTGCCGCCCGATTTTGGCTCGTCCGCCCGTTCCTCGAATTTCGGTAGGTCTTCGTCGATGCTTGCTAGAGGTTTTGAGGATTTGAGGCGTTGGATGATACGTGCGTGCGTAGATCAAGCGATGTCGTAAATGTGAGGGCTGTGCATGTAGATTGTTGTAGTCGTGGAATCTTGGTGTGACGTCGTTGTCATGATTTACCAGAGTACAATGGTCAGCACATTGTGCTGCAGGTAACCCGTGGATGCTCTTAGCTGGAGCTCGCGTAGTTATTCTACTACGATGGTCGGATTGAAGCTGCGCAGGTTTTGGAGACTCACCTGGATGTCTAACCTGGACCAGTCAGGCAGTTTCGCACGCGGCCGCGCTCCCAGCTCGAGGCGGAGGAGGGGCCGGCGCTGCGCCGCCGTCCCCGCGCCCACGCCGCCCGACGGCGCGCGGTGAGTCCGAGGAGCTGCCAGCGCCAGAGCTGCTTGCGCCGCTGCCGCCAGGTCCGCGCGCACCTCGTCACATCGCAGCCGCTGGCACCCACAGTCGGGTTTCCAGGGTTCCTACGCGTAGGTAGAGGCGCGCGCGGCCGCGCATTGCCCCGCAGCCTCTGTCGCGCAGGTGGCATCTCTGTCGGCGCTGGCGCCCCGTCGAACAGTTCGTCCACTAGCACTGGCGCCGCTGCTGGCGCAGCGGCCGCCAGTCCTTGTGCACCGCCCGCTGGTGTTAGCGCAGCCGGCGGGGCATGTCCGATGTTGTCTTGCAGTTGCTAGGGTTTGGCAAATCGACATCTACCTGGAGTTAGCAAGTGGACCCATTTGTGTCTACTATGATCCTTTTTGCAACCTGAGCATTCCCAATCGTGGGGTTCCTTGTCAAACCAACTGCATTGCCGCGGATTGCGGTTGTGCCGTGGCGAGTTCACGTGCGCGTAGTAGGCTCATGCTGGACGCCCCAGCCCGCTCGACGGCGCTCGGCGGATTGACAGAATTTTCTTCGCGAGGTACCGCGGGATCGCCATGGTCATAACCAGCGCCGCTTATCACGAAGGTGCGTGTCTGGCTTCGATATGCGTATGGGTTTCTATCTCGCGCAAAAAGGTATCGCGCAATCCTGCCCGCGTCAACGATCGGCGATTGCATCTGTGGCGCGCATCAGGCCGCCTGTGCCAATTCTCTGTTGCGCGCTTGCGCATGCTCGCGATGGCCAGAGCATTTTTGTTTTCTTCAGAGGTCTAAGGGCTGCTCTGTGGCTATCCATTATGTCGGCGGATTTCCTGACGCGCGCGCCGCGGGGGCTCCGTAGCCCCGGCGAGCGCCGGTCAACGATCTGCGCGCAAGTGGCCTTGCGCTCGGCCAGGGTCGACCAGGGGCCAATTTCATCAACCCGCGTGCCAGCCGCTCGCCCCCGAAGGAATTGGCGCCGCAGGTCATCTTGCACGACGGCGATCTCACCGCAGAAGGCAGCGCGGGAAGGTCCCCCCTGCGGCGCTTACACCAAGTGTCGCGGTTCATTTGCGCGTTGAAAAGGGGGCAATCCCGCGGTGCTGACGCCAGGCGGCAGTTGTATTATGCGGCAATGCAGGTGCGTCGATAATGCCCCATGTTCTGCGCGTGAGTTTCGTAGGTCAGCGTTGGCGAGTATGTCGAGGTTTCCTCCAGATATTAGGTCCCTCTTAAAGGCAAGTTGGGGGGGCGCCGCCCATGCCTTCACAGAGTTCCAATGCATCTACGCAGCTGTCCCGCCCGTAACACAGGGCAGGGGCAATCTTAGATATCTCGGCATGCGCCTCCGCTAGGCTGATAGGTAGCGTTAGAAAAGGGGCCGTCGCCGTCTTCGGATGCAAGTTCTTCCGTTAGAACAACGGAGCAGAGCGCGGCGCATCTTAGTCCTGAGGTCATCACCGCAGTCGTCGCTGCCGTCTTCCACGCGTTTTAGTATTTTTTTCGGTGTGATGCTGGCTTCCTTGGTGTTTTTTCTGTTGTAGCCGGTCATCTGTCGGTAGTGCTGTTTGCAGTCGTAGCGCGCTGCCTCGACTATAGGAAATGGTAGAATTTGTTTGGGGGGCCTGTCAAGCGCCAAGCCCAATCTAGAGGGGGGGAGATCGACCATCCATGGCGAACGTCCATCGCATCCTCAGGCACGTCGTCTGCCCGTGGCCGAGCATGGCTGGGGCCGCGGGTTCCCAGTGCAGTCGCGCGCGCACATTGCGAACGCCTGATGGCGACGGCGCCTTCCAGTCGCATCCTGTCGTTTTTTTTTTTTTTTTTTTTTTTTTTTTTTTTTTTTTCACAATCTGCTTTATTTTTTTGGCGTTCAGGTCTAGGGTTGCACGACG